TTGTGATCAGCGGAAATCAATTTTAATTCCGGATTCCGTGTAGTGTGTGGCGCATGAAATTCACTGATCATAGTAATTTGAAAAGCGCTGTAAAATAGATTCAAACTTCGATTTCAGCATTATCCGTGCGTTTAATGATTTAACCAGATATTTAACTATAGCTTAAATTATTAATTTTATCTTTCCATCTGTGAAGCAGGCAAAAACATCGTAACATATGAAGTCTACAGATAAGGTAGCTATCTAATCAAATAATAATCTGACATATAAATTTGTTTAAATTTTCCTTCCCCCCCCCTCGCCCGAGCCCAAAATTTTGACGTTAAGCAACAAATCAACTTTGAACGGCCTTATTTTAAAAAATAAGATAATTATTGTTATATATATAATATTTATATAAATTTGTGAATTTATACAGAATCTATAAAAAATACTTTGTAATAAAAGCGAACTGTTGGAAAAATGAAAAGAAGTAAGCTATCTCTTATAAAAATATTTTGAAAACGTATCCAGATTATCATTTTGGAAAATGCTTATTTTTTTGAAATAAAAACATATACAAATTTCTGGTCATTTCCATAGAATACTGGTAATTTTGAGTAAAATCCAATTCAGGTAAGATTTGGCTTTAATCTTTTGTACTTCATCATAATTAAAAGCCGGATTCTATCAGGATTTGATTTTTATCGGAATTCTATGAAAATGACCAGAAATCTGTATATGTTTTGATTTGCGTTTTTTGGAATGATAATTTGGAGAAACCGGAATACGTCTTTGTCGGAAAATGAGTTGTCAGGAAAGTGGGCTGTCAATGAAATGGCTGGCGGCAAAGTGACATGGATTTCGGAGAAATTTACCACACAAAATGAACTTTAATACAAATGGTGATTAATTTATTAAAGTGAGCACATATAATACAAAACGGATGAGATTTTGCATTTATATAGTAATGAGTTTGTTCTACCAATGCTGATACTCAATTCAAGTCTAGGTTTTATTTAATGTTGTTAGTCGAAGTTGTTTTGAGCTTGTAGAAATATTTCGACATTTGATATTTAGTCTATCGAAATTCTAAAATAATGCCAAATTCTAATTTATGCCGAAATGTCTAAATAATATCGAAATGTCTAAATTTAAAAAAAAATATATAAATGTATTTCTTAGTAAGTATCCGAATTTGTTTGTTTTGTGGATTTCACGCTACTTTAAAATAGATTTGATCAAAAACGGTTGCTTACCCTATCAAGCAGGTTTAATCATATATACCTTTTAAAAGACACTGCTTAAAATTTTTATGCGTGCTTCTTTTCACACAGTACTCACTATGCTAAATGTTTATAACATGAATCTGGATTACTATCAATCAAAAACTAGTTACTTTTAATATACAAGTCCTCTTTATCATTAATTTAGGCATTCAGTCATATAATATTTATTTAATCAATTATTTAAGCATTTAGTCAAATTTAGGATTTTGACATTTGACAAAAAATAATACCATGTCGAAATATTTTTCGACAGAAAATTGTCTAAATGCTTGACTAAATAGGGTATTTCGACTAACAACATTAGTTTTTATTAAACGAAATGGAAGAATATTTACGCAAAGAATGAAGCAACTTCGTTATATTGTAGTGATTCGACTTTACGGTAAAGGTCTACCACCAAAGCCCAACGTCACAACCTCGACAAGGATTAACTCCTGACAGTTTATAGCCAACCAGAGATCGGAACCAGATAGTTCATTATCCCAAAATCCCGACAGAATCCCAACATTTCGTATCATGAACTGTCAGAATTTTGATATGAACTATCGGGATTCAATCACTATCAGGGGTATGAATTGTCAGGATTTGTCCTTATTGAGAATATGCACGTCGGGATTATAGACTGTCGAGATTTTGGATGTCAAGATTTGTTGTAGACCCTTACTGTAAATGTTCAGACTCCATTCCCAACATTTCAATCATCTCACAAACCCTATAAAAAAGTTTGTAGATTTTATTGTAAGCATCGTTCAAAAAAATGTTCGGAACGGAATCGATTTGACGAATACCAAGTACGATATTGTACAATTTTTTATGCCGTGATGTAAAAAAGAAATTTTTGGGTAATATGTTAATAAAAACAGAAAAATTTTAGAAAAATTTTAGAGATTGCCGACATAATTTAGACATAATTCACCAAAATCTGGTGTAGTTTCTATTTTGGGCTGTGGCTATGCTGCAGGTTTGAATAGAATTCCATAGGACATTCTATTTCTATCCAACAAGTTTAAGCTTGAAAATGTGCATACGTAGCGATAGAAATAGCTGATAAAATAACAAAATGAAAAAAGACAAAATAAAAACAGTAACTGTAAAACTATATATGTACGTCACGGGATAGCGTGACAACAGATTATATGGCGATGCTAAAAAAATTTTTTTTACAATAGATCTGCATTCCGTATTTTACATCGCATTTAATTCTCCCAAAATAAATTCTGTAAAAGAAAGTTGTTTAATGAAAAGTGTCTTTATTAAGTAATAATGTTAGAATTTTATCTCACTAATTGAAATATGCCACAGCTTATCTGAGTGTCTGTTATCATACGATTTACTGTGGTCACATAGTAACTCGTTGGCGAGTTTTCTTAATTTGAAAGGCTACGATTCTTTGCATAGAAATAACATACTAAAAGCAATGCACTCAAAAGTAAATTATTCATGTGTATACTGCCTAAGTCGTCATTTTCTATAATGATAATTTTAGCTTTAGTATCTTTATGACTAAGCACATGTATGTACTTACGTATGTACGTACACACGCTCGTACTGTAGTTCTGAGAAAACCGGATTTGCTAGAATTTGGGTCTGTTTTACAATCACATTGTTAAAATCTATGAGCTCTAATTTAGGTCCAATTCCGCAAACCCCCGATATGAATCTTTTAGTAAGATGTATCCAATTTACAAACATAGTGACAGATGATACGTATATGTGATGATCAATAAATTTAACATTTTTAAATTCTATAATCAAGACGTTTAATGAAAAGTATATAAAGTAATAATAGAACTTTTTTATCTCACTAATTGAAATGTAATAGCTTACCTGGGTGTTTGCTATTACACGATTTACAAACATATAGTAATGCGGACCACGTAATAAATCGTTGGCAGGTTTTTATTGGTAAGCTTAACGCAGGATCTTTTTCAATACACATGTCGTGCCTGAAGTTAGCATTTACTGTTACGCTCAGGATAGGGAGAGCAATATTTATACATGTCAGATTAGCTTTAAACGTAGCATATTTATGCGGGATGGATGTTTATAAGGGATTCAAATTTAATGATAATTAGCTTAGTTGACAGATAAAGGATAGTTATTCATAAGGAAGTTATTTATTACAGGACAAGTAACTATTATATTTTTTATTAGCTTTGAAGGGGTTCAGACCCTCATCTTGAGTCTAAAACTCTCATCCAGGGTTTTAAGCCACATCTGGAGCCTCAAATCTTCATCCGGGGTTTTGAACCCTCATTTGAGAGGCTCAAGCTCTCAACGAGGGCCTATAAAGGTAACGATAATAATTGACTATAATAAAAATTAGCGTAACACTGCTAAAGTTGTAACTTTAGACAACTGAAGTTACACCTGCCTAAAATTGCTAACTATTGTATGCAAGATGATCCAATTTCAGATGGATGTTAACTTCAAGCACGGAATGCATAAATAGCAGTGTTCCTGTGTATTTTTTCTGTTTTATCAGTTTGTTACGAACACAAAGTTTGATTATTTATTTTATATCAATAAATAATGTCTACACATTCAGTTGATTTAATTGATGGTTCTGAAAAGAAAGCTGAGTTCATAAATGATTCAAATGATGTTGTCACAAAGGCAGAAGAAAAAAGATTAATAAAAAAGCTTGATCTAAGACTCATTCCTTTGGTTTTTATTATCAATATCCTCGCCTTCCTAGATAGGTATATATTTAAATACTTTATAATCAAATCAAATCATAAATCTTATCATTTATTATTTTAGGGTTAATATTGGAAACGCAAAATTAGCCTATTTGGAACAAGATCTCAATTTAATTGGTAATGAATATAATTGGTCTTTATCTATATTCTTTTTGTAAGCTTTTTGTTATTATTTTTTAATAAAATGAACTGTCATTTCATAATTTGAACTTTGTCTCTTAATTTGTAGAGGTTATATAATATTTGAAGTGCCAACTAACATTATTTCAATCAAGATCAAACCTTCAATTTGGCGTTAGTTATATATATTTATTTATTTAATTACTTAGTAAAGTGATATATTCGTATCGCTAATTTCTTTTTATAGTCTCAACACTCATGATCATAGGGGGCTTCATAGTGGTAGCCATGGCATTTGTAAATATTAAAGATACATTAATATATTTAGCAATTTGTGCATTTGCCTAGTTTATTTTAATCAATTCATAATTTAATATATATGAATAATTTTTCCAAGGTAAAAAATTATTCTCAATTGATGGTTACAAGATTTTTATTAGGTGTTTTTCAATCTGGCCTTTATTCTGGTATTATATTTTATTTTACCAAATGGTACAAGAAATCTGAACGAAGTTATCGACTTAGCTTATTTATTGCTGGATCCATAATTTCTGGTGCATTTAATGGCCTTGTGGCATTTTCGATCATAAATTTGGCTGGTAAATTTGGTTTGAATGGTTGGCAATGGGTAAGTATTCATATATATTTTTATTTGTTTCATAACATTTCTTATTCGTTTTTCCTTTGTTATTACATCACTTCTTTTTAATTTCAGATATTTCTTAC